TGACAACTCAATTTGCCAGCCAGGACGTTCAAAGGACGCAGGACAACGACCTTGCCAAGTGTTCGAGTGTAACCAATACGGCAACGTGGATTACAATCCATCCTGAGTCCATTAGAAATCAAAACCAACCGAAATTTGCCGCACAATCAAGAGTTTAATTGGGAAGTTACTTAGTGAGGCACTGGAAAAAAGGGTCCCGACTGTTGGTGCAAATCAAAGATGATATAAAATTCTCAATTTGAGTTCTGTAATAATACTTGGAGTCTCTTTAAGTAATACAGGCATTTTTAAACCTGTATTCTTAGCCCAATAAAAATAGTTTTTGGCTTTATAGTGCATACAGATGTATGTATCTAAATATCTTTTCTGGACTTCAGTTAATTTTTAACAGTTTATAAACACCCGCTGTAATTGTTCTGTGTTTGGCCAGCCAGTTGAAAGAGGGCTTAATTGGAAAATAATCTGAGTCGAGAAGGTGTTTCAAGCAGCGGACTGCCCGGAAAATGCCAGAGACAGCAAATTATCCGGTTTCCCACTGGATGGCTGTGCGGAGCGGGAAGGGGAAGGGGAAGGGGGAGGGTGGGAAAATCGGCGTGAAAAGTGAGGAAATGGCAGCCGTGAGCCGCAACAAAAGAGGCTCTCTGGCGCCTTTGTCGCCATTGTCAATGTCACTCCGGTTCCGATTTCCTATTTCCGATTTCCTATTCCCGATGCCCACTCCCGCTGCACTTACGCAAGGAATCGACAGGTGGATCTCATGTGTTGCGACCTTTGGGCTTTGTCCAATCAGGCGAAGTATACTCATGCTCCAAGGCCAACACACTCATTATCGTAGCATACTTTTCAGCTGCGCCTTCTACTACTAGTAGTAGCAGTTCTTCGGATGAAAATAACACTTCTAACATACACGTGTGTATTGGTACCATAAATTAATTGTGCTTACACAACTTCTAAATTGAATATTAAATTACATTACTTTCAGCATTTCAAGGGCAACCGCCCAAACGAATAAATGATGTATTTCGAATATATTCAAAATTCATTATGTGTACCGATTGAAGAAACCCAATATTTTGCAGGTAGAAAATTCGCATAATTGATGCATCGAAATTCCAAATTCTGCATTAATTAATGGCACAGTAACCATTTCTGTTGGAAGCAATTTAAATACATTAAAGTAAATTATAGTTAAAACCACATTGCCTGCAATTGAGAAATACGTACTTCAATTTAAACACATAACTCCGTGGCGCGGCATATTTGCTCAAAAAATGCCTTAATTTGAGGGGTTTGGCTCAGCGAAAAGCCAATTTCATTGTGGTATTCAGCACACAATTAATTTGGATATTAAATGAAATCTGCGCCTGCAGTTGTACTAATGCATTAAAGGCGATTAAAGTATCTGCTGGACTTTTAAGCTTAATCCGGTAATGAGCTTTGGGATGCGCTGTAAGTGGCACTCTATAATCCTGCACACCTGTGCATCCCCATCCATATACCAAACCCTTCTGTTTTGAGCATTTCACACCCAATTAAATCGCGAAGGCCAGAAGGTACGTGAACTATTACCCCGGTCCTTTCCCTTATCCTTCAGCCCATTTAACCGCAGCAAACTGAACGAGAAGAGTTCATTGGGGGCAATAATGGCGATGATAATGACTATGATTACGATGATGGGGGTCATGTGAGGACGACGACTGACACAACCCATCGCTGCTGAAATCGCTAACAATTTCTGACATTTTGATTTATAAATTCCAACCCACCCGCCCAAGTCCAACTCCTACTTCAGCGCGTCTATTGTTCCTGCAGCTGTTTCTGTGGCCTTTTCTGCGAGCTCCTCGCTGCTGCTGCACAAAGTGAAATTTACGTTTGATCCCCAAACGAATGGAGGCGGGGGCTTTGCGGCGGAAAATTGGCTGCGGGGATAAAAGGGGAAAATGGCTGGAGAGGACTGCCAAAATTGCTCCATCGGGCCCCCAGAGAAATGGAAGAAATTATAACGAGAAGGGGGTCAGAGTTCAAGCAACGTCGTGCTCACGGTTCGATGCCATAAAATGTTATTATGCACTCGAGTGTGCACCGAATATTCCGATGTACTGGTGCGGGAGTCCCCGGCCATATAAGCCAGTTCACGGGAGCCCCCACCAAGTTTCCAGTGCCCTTAGCAATCGAAAAGCAAGACGGGCATTTCTTTTAATCCACAAAAACCCTGTGCTATAAAATATGAAAAGTAATTATATTATAAAATTATGTAATTATGATATAAATCTTACATGTACATGTTAATATCTAATGACAACGTTAAATATTTTTCAATTTTACCGTGGGTAGCTTAAATAGTTATCTAAAAACGCACAATATCATATTTAAGGAACAAACTTCTCGTCTGATTGAATTGATCTTTTTTGTTTGTGGCACCACCAGCAGGGGGCGCCACCAGCGCCACTAGTGGCGGAATGTAGATGGCGCCGCCACAATTGCAGGAGCTCCAAAACCGTCGAGTGTTTTGATTAAACGTTTCGCTTTAATTGCTTCATCATCATTGCGGCAGTGGGTGGGGCTGGTGGTGCATGGAGGTTGGTGGATGGTGGGTGGTGGGGGGTGACATGCCCCGCAGGATGGTGCACTCCATGTGCGTGCTTGACTGTGGTTCACTGGAGAAGTGACGCACACGGGCAAAGACCATTGAACTTTAACATGTCACTGCGAATGGATGGGGATGGCTATGAATATGGCATGGCTATTGGCCACCAAATTAGCCATTCACTATTGACTGATGTTGAACAGTAAATAAGGCTAATAGAGGTATTTTTAGAAGGAACCCCCACATCTGTTGGGAAATTATAATATAATCTATTAGCCCTATTTACTGTTCAACATTATCCATCATAATTTCGACCAAAATGATAGAACTCGAGAGCTGAAGAATGTGTTTGTAGAGAGTGATATTCGTTTTTGCACTCCATGAGCCTTTCCATAAGCATGGCCAACAAGTTTAGCCTGTTTTCAAGTGAGATTCGAAAGAGTCGGATGCCACCACATGTATGTATGCATATGTACCTTATCTTCAGGTTCACACACACCTATTATTACATTTAAGTTCAACACATCTGAGGCCCGAACAATCCGATTATTCGCCTTATCACAGTGCATTTGAGGAACAACAAAAACGAAGGGCAGAGCAAATCCAATTCAAGTCGACAAGCGAATACCCTTACGCCTTTAGAGTTGCACATTGCAGATAAAATTGTGCAAAATTACACTGTGTATACCAAAAAATATGTCTGATATTCTATTATTTTCTAAAACAAATCAACTTTACTTAATATTTATACCAAGGCACTTTAGCAATGAATACTTCATATTCAAATGCATATTTCAGATAAGAGAGACCACAAAACCACTGAAAATAAATGACCGATCATTTGTTTACCCTACCCATAATAATTTCCTGTATCTAAGCAATTTGAGCACTGTTGATCTAACTTTTACAAAATAAAATATTTCAAGCAGTTCGATACAGATTTCATTCAAAAAATAATACTTTTTTAAAATTACCATTGCCATTGGAAAATAAATCAATCGTCAAATCGTTTCTGTGGCTAATGGACTCCTTCGGCAGAGAATTATCTCCGCCAACAAAGCCATAAACACAAAGAGAGTATAAAAGAATTACCCAGCAATCGGAGCTCCAGACGTCTGCTGCTCGAGCTGCCTGCCACATCGGACTATCCTACAATCTGCGCAGAGTAGCCATAAAGTCTCTGTAACTCCATCGAATACACCCGAAATGCCACGCCCAGTGCTGCTCATACACGGCGGAGCCGGTGACATATCGGACTCCAGGATAGCGGGAAAGTTCGCGGGCATAAAGCAGGCCCTCCGCTCCGCCTGGGCCCTATTGAGTCCGGAGAATGGCAGCGGAGGCAGTGCCTTGGACGCCGTGGAGGCGGCGGTGCGTAGCATGGAGCTGGACGAGAACTTCAACGCCGGCTACGGCTCCTGCCTGAACACCAATGGGCAGGTGGAGATGGAGGCCAGCCTGATGGAGGGTCGGGATTTGCGAGCCGGCTGCATAACCCTGCTGCGGGATGTGATGCACCCGATCACAGTGGCCCGCCGCCTGATGGAGAAGCAGCGGCACACCTTTCTTGGCGGTGCAGCTGCTCAGGAGCTGGCCCTGGCCACGGGCAGCGAGCGACTGCAGCCGGGAGCACTGGTCACCGAGGGTGCCCGCTTTACGCTGAAGGAGTTCCAGGATCAGGTGGCCCAGGGCAAGGATCCCTTCTTTGCGCGCACGGAACTGGCCGAGGACAAGCCGACACCGAAAACGGATCCCAGTGGCGAGACGGTCGGAGCGGTGGCCATGGACGCATCGGGCCAGATTGTGGCGGGCACCTCCACCGGCGGCATCACCGGCAAGTGGCCGGGTCGCATTGGGGACACACCCATTCTGGGCAGCGGCACCTATGCGGATAACGATTGTGGTGGCGTCTCCACCACTGGACATGGCGAGACCATCATGCGTTTCAATCTGGCCCAGCGCATTCTGTCCGCCATGAAGTACCAGGGATTGTCCGCCCAGGCAGCCGCCGACAAGGAGTGCCGCGAGATGACCAAGCGGCTGGGTGGCACTGGTGGCGCCATCGTTGTTGGCCACTCCGGTGACCTGGGCATCAGTTTCACATCGCGTCGCATGGCGTGGGGATATGTCCAGGATGGCACCATCTTTTACGGCATCGAAGGTCAGGTGGTGCACCAGGAGCCGTTCACAGTTTCCACATAACTCACGTCGGTAAAGCTATCAAGGATTTACAAAATATCCCAATTAGCAAATTAAATTAAATTAAATCTTTTAAATTTCGGAAAGCTAATACATAAATAAATGTAATCAGTTTCATATTGTTTACCATTTTTACAGAAGTACACGCATTTCTTTCAAAAAGTTGTCGTTCATTTGATAAAGAGAATATATAATAAATAGAAGTTGACCACACTATTCCTTGTTATCCACTGCTTATTTATTTACACAATTAAAATACGAAAATTGCACATTTCGATGGCTTATGGCTAGACATAAATTATTTACAATATTGCGCTATAAAACGTTATAGAGAGCTATTTAGCTTATTTACAATATCGAAATAAGCTAAATATACAAACTAAATTCGATTTCAATTAGAAAAGTATGTTCGACTATATTCCATAACTATTCTTAATGAACATATAAATATTTAATATTTTAGTATTTGAATAAGAGAAAAAAAACATTATTTCTAGCCTAAAGCGATCCCTGACTTAGTGAAATATTGCCAACGAACCAGCTGATGACTGAAAACTCTCTCATTTCTAGTTCGAGGTAAAGCTCATCCGTTGAACGTCTATTTGATCCGGCCGAAAACTTTGTACAGAGGGAGACGCACTGGACGGTGGACGGGATGCGGTGGTCAGCTGCGACTGGCGCCCTGGGGCGCCACATCACGCTGGGATTCGTGCGCCTCGGTTAGACCATAGCAATGCTTGGCCGCCGGATCGCGGTACTTGTTCTCGTGCTCCACGGAGTGCGAGTTCGTGCGACACTTGACCAGGCACAGCTCGAAGTGGTCCGCCACGCTGGCGAAGATGTACTTGGGCGTGTTGGGCGCCAGCAGCACGCGCTCCAGCAACGGTTGTTGTCCGGGGTGCAGGCAGCAGGAGACACAATACTCGTACACAGCGCAACAGTGGGTGCTGGTGTTGCACGTGCGGCAGCTGTAGTATCCAATGCCGGGCAGCTCCAGATTGCAGCAGCCGTTGGTTAGCACCTGCTCGCGTCTGCACACGAATCCTCGTTCATCCGCCAGCCATTGGCGGCCCTGGACAGAGTTTCGGCAGAGTGCTTCCGGATCGCCGCGCGTGCGATTGAGCTGCTCCTCCGGCGCCAGGAGCTGCTGCGTCCACAGGAGCGGTCGGGTGCGCTGCACAACATACTCGTCATAGTGCAGGCCGGAAAAGGAGTCCTGCGGGTGCAAAGGTAACTCAATTAGCCACTGGTTTGCATCATGTAGGCGGAAAGTCCAGATAACATGCGGTTTGTGCCACTAATAAGCTTAAGCTCCAGGAGCTGAGAACTGCCAACTGGAGCACGTGCACTCACCCGATCGAAAAGGTGTCCGAATCCGTAGATGAGCAGCAGTACCACCAGCACGATGTACACAATCCGGCGTCGCAGCAGGCGTGTTAGGGCGGCTGGCCACATCCTGGCCAGAACCTAGCGCTCCATCACAGCTTCCGCCGGGTGTAACTCTCCTGGGACACGGACATGACAATGGCCACAATCAGGGGATTCCTCGGGTCAAATGCTACTGGCGCATTGGATGCAGTTACCACTGGGAAGCCTTCAGCTATGTACTTCTGCTGATTGTGGTTACATCCAGTTGCAGTGTTGTTGAAGGTTTCTCTCAGAACTGAACTTGTTTTTTCATCAAGATGATGAAATTTTCCTGGAGTGTTGATGAACTTTTCTATGCAACTTCCCTGTTGGAAACAGCTGTCTTCCAATTGGCCAAAGGAGCTATATTCTCTTTGCGTTGCAGCATGATGTGTAGGTAATTATTGTCCCACCATAGCTCGTTATGTATGTGCCTTTGTGGTGTACTTATTTTATGCAATAAATGGAAGCAATATTCTCTGGCAGGCACAAAAACAAATTGCTAAATATTTATATATTTCGGTCAGCTGTTAGCCAGTGCTGCAAAATTCTGTGTTAATATACAATCAGTGATACGCAATTCTAACGGAGACATACAAATCGATTAGTGTTATCGATGTTTAAAAATTCGAAATTAATATTTTTTAATGTATGATTAAAGCTCTTCTAATTTAAATGGTAATTTAATTTATAATTTCTAATTTAATTGATTTTCAGTAGCTTTTAAATAAAAATGCGGATTAATATCAATTTAAAACGGTTTTATAAAATGTATAAAAATAAAAATTACATTTTCATGACTTGAAATGATCATAACATATATGTTTAGTATCTACTTAATTCTGTGTACAGTCAAATTTCCTCCAGTTTTCGGCAAAGGCTTTCACCTTTCCGATGGGGTTCGCCTCCTTTCGTGGCTTTCGCCAAGCATTCGGATTGAGCTCCAGCATTCCGCCAAGGATTTCCTGAAAGCATAGGAGCAATTGTCATACATTTGAATCAAACCACGCGAGCAACGCCAACGAACCTGGGCAAAGTTGGCCGGAAAGCGATCCTCGTCCTCGATGACGTGCGCGAAGCCCGAGTCCATGCCGAAGTGAACCCACACGTAGGGCAGTCCCTTGGGAATGGCCGCCCGCAGGGACTTCTGGCGCAGCGAGACCAGCTGCTTGTTGATGCACCACTCCTGCTCCGACTCCTCGATCGCCTTCTTGAAGTAGAAGGGCGCCATCTCTCCTTGGCTGGCGGGAATAGGGATGCAGTGCACGCTGAGATGCGGCCGCCGGTGCAGCTTGTTGGCGATCTCGTAGAAGACGACATCTTGGCGCCGGGCAGCGAACATGCGAGTGAGTGCCTTCCGGAAATTGCTCATCTCCTCCCAGGCATCCTCGTCTAGTTGCGTGCAGCAGGGTACATGCTGCAGCGTCGTCAGAATGCAGTGACCACTCTGGAGGCCCATGTACCACGGCAAACTGAGGTAGATCTTATCGCCCAGGGACACCAGCAGCTGTTTGTCCAGCTTGGCGGAGTCAAAGCAGCGCTCGCAGTTGTCCAGAGTGGCGGCCAGTTTCTCGTGCTCCCTGATGGCGCTCTGCATCTCCCGCTGCTCGGCATCTCCGGCGGAGATTTGCTTGCGCACCTTGTCGGCAAATATGTCCTCCAAGTCATCGTTGGGATTCTTGTGCTTGGACACAATGTCCGCATATTGCAGGTTGGCTTCTGCGGCAGTGGCGTGCTTCTCCCGCTCGAACTGGAGATTAAAATGTGTTACTATTTGGTGTTTGCTTTTGAAAGTAGAGCTTACCATTTGCTTAATGTCATAGCGGTCATCATCGGCGAAGTATCTCACACGCTGGCCATCCACGTGGGTGTCCACCTTCTTGCTGCTGCGTTTTTGTCCCCTCCTGCCGCCGTACTGTTCGTTTGGATTGCTGGACTGCACCAACGGACGCACGTTGCCGCTCTGATCCACCTTGGTGAGCAGCACATGCTCTGCCGAGGCCTTGGGCTTGGCTGGCCTGGCATTTGCTTTCGGTACTGACTGGCCGGAGGCAATGAACTCTGCTCGTTCCTTACGAGCTGCTTCCAACTGCTGATTGAGTTCTGCCGCCAGTTCTTTCTTTCCTTTGAGTTCTGCCTTGATTGCCTTGCCGGCCAGCTCATTGATCTGTTCGTCTGTGAGGCAGGAGGGTGTGGACTTGGTCTGCTGCACGGCCTCCTCCTCTTCCTCAGTAGAAGGAGATGTGGCACTTCTGGAACGAGATCTGCATCGTCTTGGCGGACTGGGAGCATTTGCGCCTGGTTTTCGCCAACCGCGCGATGATCCTTGTCCGGAGCTGATGGAATGCGGCTTGGCCTGCCGCTCATCGTCGTCCTGCGGCTTCTGGAAGCCGGGCAGACCCGTGCCATTGCTCTTCCAGTAGGGATTAAGCTCACGGCCACTCTTGGCCGGATCGTAGGCATCAATTTGTTGGGCCTTCTCGTTGGGCTTCGCTGGCTCCTTGCGTTCCCTGGAGAACGTCTTCAAAAGGAGAGCCTCGCTGGTCATCCAGTCGTCACGCTGAGGAGGCTCCTTCTTGGCAACATTGTCTGCCGCAGGAGGCGGAGGAGCTTCCACCCACTCGTCCTCGCTGGCACTTCCCTTGCGGCTCTTCTTGGACTTCTTCTTGCGTCGCTTGCGCTCCTTTTCATCCTCACTGGACGAGGAGGAAGATGAAGTGGAACTGTCGCTGCTACTGCTGCTGCTACGATGCTTTCTGCTCTTCTTCGATGACTTGGACTTGGACCTAGACTTGTGCTTGGAACTCTTCTTCTTGGGCTTTTTGGCGGGCTTCTCCAGTTTCTTAGCCACCGCTGGCAGCATCCAGTCGGCTTCGCCGCGCAGTTCCTTCTGCCTGTCCCGCTGGCCACGCAGCTCCGCCCGCTCCTTGGCTTGCTGCAGCATCGCTTCCCGAGCCTCGCGCAGCTCCTGGCGCGCCTTGTCCTTCTCCCTGCCGCTTTCAAATTGTATGTAGCTCATGTTTAATTCGATTCTTGTTGTTTACCAAAACATTAGTTTTAGAGGTGGGCAAATCTACGCAGCAGATATATCGGTTAATTCACTATCGATAGATATGTTGCGATAAAAGTATATAATAATCCGAATTCACTAGGTTTTTTAATCTGTACTAATAAAAGAAATAATCGCACCATAGTGCGATAGGTATTTAGCCTTCACGGCTTTATTATTGTGTACATTGTCTTAGACGGCTACTGTCGAAATTTCAGCAGGATCGGACTTGTAGTTTTTTTAGGCCGGAAATCACCACTTTCCCAAAATTGTTTTTCTTTTGTAGGCTAAGTACTTATCGGACCACCCGATAAGTATTTATTGTCGACAATAATAAATATTTATTACAAATACAGATGAAAATGTAAGAGCTGATCCTAGTCATGATTAGATATTACATCCTATGGAAGTAGAACAAACGCACTACTATTGAAGTTCAGCTAAGGATAGGCAACAACGGAATTCTGCTCAATCCTCATCCGCCTGTTCCTCGTCCTCCTCCGAGGCAGTGTCATCCTCAACCTCTTCGGCCATTCGCTGTCGTACCTTTTGCCGGACGATGGCATCCTCGACCAGGTGCGCTGGCTGGATGTAGGTCTCGTTGGCACAGCCGAGCACCGGACACCGAATGTCAATCTTGTCTTTAATGATCAGCATTACCGAATCGCGGTCGTAGATATGACCGCACATTTTGTTGCGCACGGGGTTCTGCATCAGGGCCTTGGACCAGGGATCGTAGAGCGAGAAGATCTCGCCGCCGGTCTCTTCGATTCCTTCGATGATAAGGTCCTCATCGTGGGCGGCGCCATTTGCTTGACCATTAACATCCGCACCTGCCTGGGCAGCTGTGGATTCCACAGTTTTCTTGAAGTTCTTGAACTGGGCTATGTTTTTGACATTGATGCGCTTCCGCTCCGCCGCTCCGGAGCGCTTCTTCCAGACTTCATTGAACTGTTCGATGGTGGAGCTGGAGTTTTGGACCTGCTGCATAGTCTGGCAGAGTGCTTCGTGCTTGCTCTTCAGACGGATGAGATTCTCGGCGTGCTCCACGCGCAGGCGGGCGCTTTCCTCCAGCAGCTTCTGGATCTCCCCGCCATCACTGAAATCGGACACGACTGTTGCGGGATTTAAATATGTACATATGTCCCTTTGTGTTACATTGCTCACCGTCTGCCATTTCCCTGAAGAACTTTGTGTTGTCCACATAAGTGGTCAGTGCGGAATCCACATGCTGATTGAAGTCCATTTTAAAGCTAAATGTTAGGTTTATGTTTTGAAATTGCAGAGTAATTGCAGCCAGATGTTTAACATCGACGGTTCGGATAAGATCGGTAGCTCGCTAGTCAGGCAAATCGCATTTCGCGAATTGTTAATACTTGGTGCATCAACTCGAGCTTACAATTTTATTTTCAAATTGAAGCAATATAAGGTAGCTGCTGCAGTAACTTAGAGTGACCATTTCGCGCCGTACGGTCATATTTACCCGCGAGCCGTCGTAGTTATCGGCGTTATCGGCAGCTAACCTGGTTAACGAGCGGCGGAAAACTTTGCAGTGGGACGAACGCCGAGCAGACGGACGAGCAGCGCCAACGCGACCGCCACCAGTTGCTCCGGTCCGATTCCATACACAACCAAACCGTTCCGATCCCAGCCAACGAGTGCCAGCTGTGCACCACCTCGCGCCCAGCTGCAACTCCACGTGTCCAGGGTGAAAGCGCTGTTCAAGATGCGGATGCACGGACTACTGCTGGTGCTCTTGGCCATGCTGCCCACGATGGCCCTGGGCTTGCTGGAGGGCCTGTACTGCGGCAAGGACAACTGTTACGACGTGCTGGGTGTCACCAGGGAGTCGTCCAAGTCGGAGATCGGCAAGGCCTACCGCCAGCTGGCAAGGCGCTATCATCCGGATCTGCATAGGGGAGCCGAGGCGAAGGCGGCGGCGGAGACGCAGTTCAAGCTGGTGGCCACCGCGTACGAGATTCTGCGGGATGAGGAGTCGCGCACGGACTACGATTACATGCTGGACAACCCAGATGCATACTATGCGCATTACTACCGCTACTACCGGCGACGCGTGGCGCCCAAGGTGGATGTGCGCGTGGTGATCGTGGTCGTGCTGACCATTGTGTCCGTCATCCAGTACTATTCCGGCTGGCAGCGCTACGACTCGGCCATCAAGTACTTCGCCACGGTGCCCAAGTATAGGAACCAGGCCCTGGAAATAGCTCGCGACGAGATCCAGGAGAAGATCCAGAAGAAGGGCAAGAATCGTATGTCCAAGAACGATCAGCGTGATGAGCTGGAACGGATTATCCGGAGGGTGATCGAGGAGAAAATGGACGTAAAGGGCGGCTATGCGAAACCCACGCTTTGGGATGTGCTGTGGGTGCAGCTGATCATCTGCCCCTACACGATACTCTCGTTCATCGTGTGGCACGCGCAGTGGTTCTGGCGATACACGGTGATGAAGCAGCCATACGGCCGGGAGCAGAAGCTATACCTCATCCGACGGCACCTGGGCATGGGCCAGCATCAGTTCGAGGCGCAGGAGGACAAGCTGATCGAGGAGTACCTGCACCTGAAGCTTTGGAAGCGCGAGAATTTCGTCACCTGGAAGGCGGAACAGGACGAGGAGATGAAGAAGAAGCTGGCGGAGAATCCACGTTACAAGGCCTATAGGCGATACATGAAGAACCACGGACCCGGCCGCATCACCTTCGACGATTAGCCGCTGCCGTGCGATGTTCAAGTTTTATTGTTCCATCTGAAGTCTGTTGTGTGCGTGTTGTAAAACCGATCCCAATTCCTTGCCCTCGGCATCCCCATACCGTCTAAATTTTGATACATTTATATATATATATAGATATTTTTTGTACACCGACTAAAATATGAATTATGCTAATGCCCCGGTGTCCGCCAAAGGGCGAAACGTTGACCCCGCCGGAGCAATCCGCCAAAACCGGTTTAAGAACGTGGCCAAGTTCGGTTCTCGTCGACACAGTGCCCACTGGATGGCGTGAACGAACCACCCTAGAACAATTATCCCCCTACCTGCCTGGTCACAAAAACCACGCCGTGTTCGCGGCTTTCAAACTAACTTGACTAACCCGATTACTGTAATAAACTAGATAGAATTTAAAGGTCTCTCTTACTGGTTGTTCACTGTGCCCAGTTTGCACAGTTGTTCTGTTTAGCCAAAAATTCGATCTCGTGGCACCAAAGCACTCAGTCTTTATTCGCTTTAAACAGCATCTTTCCGTTTTTTTGTTTACACAGTTTGCTTAGAAACAATTTCGTTTTCGTTTTCTGATTGGCGGGGTTGGGGGATCAGAGCTTATAATAAAACTTACGTGCCTCGAAGAAAGGTAAAGAGTAAAGAAGGTTGGATTTTTCAACTGTAGCCTTCGAATAAAGTATGTTTATACATATGTAGAAGTACGTAGAAATTAAAAAATGTCCCAAGGTTGAAGTTTTAAACTCCATAACTCAACCTTTCTTACTCTGATTTTGAAGTGGCATACCTCTAAATGTTTCTTGCGCAATTCTCTAAAAATCTGCATTCAAATTTAAAAATTTATTTTGTATGTAATTTTTTTGATGTTATGATGTTATCAACAGCCGAGTCGATCTGGCCATGTCCGTCTGTCCGTATGAGCACTCGATCTCAGGAACTACAAAGACTAGAATGTTGAGATTAAGCATCCAGCTTCCAGGGACATAGATTAACGCCATAAATTATTTAAATAATTAGTATTTATTACTTATTGTTCTTCTAATGAATAGTTAAACAATAACTCCCTTTAAAGTAGCTTTTATTAACTATTTATTTTATGTTTTAAAGTTTTTTAGGAATTACTCTCCGAATAAAGTTCATATTAAGCAATTTTCACATTCATATACTATTTTACATCAATTACAACCATTTTCCACAAAAAACTGACAATTTTTTTGTAAGCTTTCTATCCGAATATCTTTCCATTTTATTTACACCGATTTCTTAGAGTTACGCTTCTAAGCTTTGTTGTCTAAAAACTACGGGGTGGGGAAACTTGGGAACATCGTTGAGTGGAGACCGCCCCTTAGTAGGGTGGTGAGTTGTCCCGGTAGTAATACTAGTCTATCATGTACTTGGATTCGTCACCGAATTCCTCGGTGTCCAGCAGATTGCCGACCAGTTCCTTGACAGAGTGAACGCTCTGGTAGCTATCGACGTACGGGTACGGATCGTCATGCTGCAGCTCTTCGCCGTCAACAGCCTCCTCCTCCGCGTTGTCCTCATCGTTGAACATGAAGTCATTCGCCACGATGCACTCCTCGAGAACTTTGGTCTGTTCCAGCACCACAGAATCCAGCGAGAAGGCTTCGGGGATTTGTTGTTGCTTGCGCGCCAACTCCCTGCGCGCTAACTCTTTCCGGATGGGAATACGCTGGTGGCGATTGGATGCATCAGCGGATGACGATGATCCCGATGGCTCGCCGCTGCCCGAACCACGGTGCTGGTCCATATGCGCCGACAGATAGCTTTTCTTGGTGAACCCCTTGTCGCACTGCGTGCACTGGAACTGCTTTTTGCCGGTGTGCGTCCGCCGATGGACGGACAGAACGTGAGCGTAAGCGAATCCCTTGTGGCATACCTCGCACTCATACGGCCGCTCACCGGTGTGAATCCTCTCGTGCTTCTTGCTGCTGCCGAAGTCCGAGAAACGACGCTCGCAGTAGCGGCAGCTGTAGGGCTTCTGGCCGGTATGGACGCGCATGTGGCGGCGCAGCTCAACGTTCGAGATGAACGCCTTCTGGCACACCTCGCAGGGATACGGCCGCTCGTTGTTATGACGCCGCATGTGGGCATTCAGCGCGTGCTGGTACTTGTACGTATTGCCGCACACATCGCAGATCTTCGGCGATCGTTCGCAGTTGCGGCGTTTGGTCGCGGAAGAGGGCTTGTAATCGTCGTCCACATCCGCTGTCGCCGGCAGTCTTTCCCGCTTGACAATGGGCGAAACGCGACGGTAGGTGCGCTTTCTCAGCTGGTTGGTGGTCTGAGGCGGCGGCAACGGCGGGCTGTCCACCAGAGACTCCTCGATGAGCGGCGTCTCGATCTCGTATAGGTGCTCCGGAGTGTTTTCGTCATCCCAGGGATCCAGTCCCAGCATCTTGTCCTGCCCTTCATCATCCTGCTGCTCTTCAGAGTCCTCTTCTTCGGGCTGCTGAGTGATAGGATCCTGCTCTTGCAAGTTATTCAGGGATAAAACCATGGCTCCCTCTGGTATCAGGGAAAGCGTGTCTGCCACCACCTCCTCCTTGACATCCTCGTAGTAGGAGGGTTCCGTCGTCGTAGTTATTGCGCTGCTTACTGAACTGGAAGAGCAGAGCTCAACGTTCAGCCGCTTAATTTTCAGTGTTGCAGGCAACCGGACGTGGGCCTGTTTCAGATCAAGCTTAAGCTGCTCCTGCTGCTTATCGACCACAAGCGGGACAGGAGTAGCAGAAGTGGCGGCGTCGACGGAGGTCGAGGTAGCGCAGCTGGCGGAGTGAAATAGCTTCTGGACAGCGGCGCACTTCTCGTGAAAGCGATAAGAGACAGACAACTCCAGATGACACTGCTTGCAGATCTTGTCCGGCCAGCGGTGCAGCTGAGCCAGGCTGCTATCCAGCTGCAGGCCGGTACAGCAGCGGATCTTGTCCAGGATGAGCATATGCGGAGACTCCGGGTCGTGGCCGTAAATCGAGCTGGCCTCGGGCTCCTCCGCCAGACAGACCAGGCACGCCACGCCCAGGTCCACCACCCGCGGCTCCAGGTTTTTGGACATTGCTCCGATCTCGGACTGAAGCTGCGTTCAGGCTGTTCCTCAGGATGCTCCCAAAAATCCACACACGCGCAGCCAAAAAAAAAAGAACACTTCTCTTGAAATAGGGATGGGACTTGCTTGTTTTTAGGTACCTGATACTCAAAGCGATCCGTGAGTCGTGCAACTATCGGTTTTGTTCATCTATTTAAATGAAAAATGTGTAGACTCTTTTTGTTTAGGGAAATATTTAAAATGGTTAAATTCAAGGACAACCATTATTAAATTAATTTTTTATGAATTTGTGATTGCATTATTATTTTGTAACTAAGATTGCCCATCTCTAGCTTGAATTATCGATGAATTTATTTATTTACTTTACTTTATTTATTTACTTTTATCAGTTATTTATTTGCTGGAATGAGAAGTGACTTGGTTTTAGAAAAATTGAGCATTTAAGAAGGAACTGTTTTTTAGGAACAGCTTTCATTGTGTTACTTTCCTAGTAATAGTTGGGTTTAATTCGTGCGCCAGTTCACATTTACTTATGTGCGACTATGTTTGACAGAATTTAAATTGTTTTAATTCGCGCCTAT